AGTTGTAAGCAAATACAACCACTGACATCAAGCATATGATGAATTAAATAACAATCCACCTATAGTGAATCATAAACTTATTTGCCGAGATTAAACATGTGAATCAATGAATTTCAAATCAGTGGCTTAATTGTAATGTGTGTTCACTACTAGACGTGAGAGCTTTAAGAAAGATCCCATGCACGATATATAATGCATATCGTTAATGATTATCAGAATAAGAATGACCAATTCGCATTATATATGGTATGTAGCCAACAATAGAACCCAGAGCGCACACTTTGTTTGATCTAGAACTTGTCAGCCGGCTGTACCAGAATCCTAGTAAAGATGTTCACCATGAAATTCAATCGATTTCTTTCCAGATGGCAAATGAGTTATCCAATGTACTTCCTAACTTATATGAAGAAATGATGGTTCATTGATTACTGATTTTCAAAAGTTTTCCAACAACATATATTACTCACATATATTATTAATGTTTTCACAGGATAATACGGATTTTAAAAGTAATCTAGACATTTTACACTACTGTTACTAGTGAAACGCTTGCTTAATATATAAGTTGATTCGATTGATAATTCGCAGTAGTTGTAAATACTGAAATTCTACAAATAACAATCGTGGATGCGACTGCTGAGGAGTCCCATTCTAGGACGAAACGGCCGTCCAGTGCTTCCAGGTTTTCCATGGTGGTCTAGCTTCGATTAACTCATGAACTCAACTATTGAATTACTATAACACCCATAACACCCCTTCCTGATGACAATACATATTTTAAAATTCTAAAATTAACTGATTTTCCGTATAAACGGTAAACAGTTCAGTTTTGAAATTTGACCAGATGTTAGTTAGCCTCAGATCTAGGTTTCAGAATAATTGACATTTAACATCAAAAGGTACCTGCAATTCTAAGAAAACTGTTAATGCAAGTACATTTCGAACTAACATCCCTCAATATATTAATTAAAGATGACTTCGTGAAGTTATTCAAGGCGTGAGTTGGCTCCTGTATATAATATCATGTTCATGAAAACTAACGAACACGAAACTGGAGTTCAAGCGATTCTGTTAATTTCGTCTAACTGCCTAACTTCCTTACATAGTACAGGTGATGTCAATTCTTTATACTGGTGGTAACATTGTAGCTTTAGTTACAAAATTTGATCAACACTCAGGATTAGAAAAACAAGATATCGTTTAAAAATCTTAACAATACATCTTGTATTCGAATAAAAAGTAGTCTTTCACCCTTTCACGCAAAGACTGACATGCATTTTGTAGAATCATCTCAATTAATTTTCCAGGAAACATAAATTACACCAAGAAACCATAGCCCTCACCTAATAGAAATTTGTTTTCTCTTTCGTTCTCATGATTCATTTCGATAAATTCCACAGTTAGTCAGATTTAGATCTTAGAATTAATTATCTTAAAGCATATTGATGTCCATTACCAATCGCTTAAATCAAAAACCATTGATGAAATCTTCACTGTTTATAATTCTTATATTGATAGACCAATATAGATTGCTCACTCATTATCAATGGTTTTCCATATAATGTCAAATTGTAGGTTCAATAAACAGCTAATATTTCTTTTATCACACTTCTGATAAATAATTCCTCTGAAAAGTAATTTTCTTCATGAAATAAAGTTGTCTAGAGTAGCACTCATAGATAATAAGCACTGTATCCCTATTCCACATAAAAGTCCACATGAATGACCTCATAGAAAACTAAATACTGAACATTCATTCTACTCTGATGAAAATCACTTCAATAATAACTATTAGAAAAAAGATGTGTACCAAATAAAGACGAAAAGTCACTGTATTATTTAATATCGAGTCGAAAGTATCAATAGACTGATCATAAACAGTTAGTATGCATCACATTCATGTGTTACATTTCAATTACCTGATTAGGTTTAGGCCATTCCTCGCCAATTTTTTTGTCCGGCAATTCTATTAAATCTAAATGATTGATTTTCCACAAAACTGGAGTTTCTTTGAGTTTAAATAAAGCAATATCATACTCCAAATTTCCTATGCATACAAAAAAACAGTGATGTTAAAAGTATGGAATTACATAGTAATTTCAAAATAAAATCGTTATTCACAACTTTATTACTTAAATTTAAACAAAGCAGTTTGTAAAGCCGATGAAAAATAATAAGATTCTTAAAGTTACTTTATAAGATTGGTTGATGACAACTGGAGAACCACTAAAATGTTGTTTAATTTTAGTTAAGAAATTCTTAAATGAGATCACCAGCACCTCAACACAATAAAATTTAGGACCTTCAGCTCAATAGCCATTCATAGTACCCATGTGAATTACTGTCTCATTCATGATGCGGTTGACTTCAGCAAGCACGCTTTCTTACTAAATGTCCTGAAAGTTTCATGTTCTAGTAAGTGTTTATTAGTAGGTTTGTGTTGTTGCAGGTCCCTTTATTGCAAAGAAATTCCTGGTCAGTTCTCTCTGATTTCCAATGTTTATTTATTTTGTGTCAGTTCATGATGGATGGTGGCTAGCAGTGAAATCCAGAACGCGCTCTCCATCCTATTTGGGACTCGTCAGCTGGATTTACCTGCATCACAGAGTTGACATTTACTCCGGAACCAGAACCCGGTATCGTTTGCTTCAAACGCCATCATGTTATCCACTTAGCTACTGAGTCCTGATGGTCACTAGCTTGTGCAGTGGGGTGGAGTTTTAATTCATTTTATGTTGTTTGTTTGAACCTTCCTAATAATGTTTAAGATTACAATTGATCAGTCTCTTATTGGCATATGTGCATCCTGTGCGGATTGCCTCGATATTGTGTTAATTCACATATGCCGATGAGAAGATTCAAATAAACAATACAAAATGAATAACAATAACATTAACAATAATTATTAATTAGAATATCATGTAAAACAAGATGAATGCATAATTAAGGATAGGGAAATCTTCTTGGAATGAAGTGCATATCATAATAAATTTGTGAAGGGATAAATTTAGAATAAATAATTAAATTAATTTGGACTTCTAATTATCCCATCTATTCATTCAATATCCTGAATCAAAAACTTATTGATCAACAATCGTTTGAATAAAATTTTCATGATAAGTTCTTGTTATTCCAATTATTCAACCATAAAGAGCGGCCTGCTTAAGCATCTGGGCTACCTGTTCCTGCCATCCAGATATTTCAACAAGTTATCTATTTTTCTTTGTTTTAATATATCATTATGTTTATTAATCGCATAACCTATTCTGCTGCGTTTCTGAAAAGTGTACAACCTTTCGTTGTCAGAGTTACAAAAAACTCAATAAGAGACAATGTGGTTGCTGGCACTATACAGCGAAAAGAATGCACATTATTCAGATGTTCATTTACTGAACTGCCAACATCTAACTGGTGATCACTCAACATTTATCGCCAGGACCGACCAAGAAGAAAAAAACGGAAACTTGTTGAAATACTTTACGCTGAGAATTCTATATTGTACCAAAAATATAATATTGAATAAAGCTGATAATAATAATAATAAACTATGGTAAAAACGTAAATAATGTGTTCAAATTGTCAAATATATACATATCAATACATAGAACAAAGACGTAAAGTATCCAATGAATTGTTTTACAAATTTTTACGTAATTTCAGTCAAAATAAATCATACTTGTTTTATATGATGATTATATGTTGTTTATCATTAACAATGTATACTTACAGTATAAAAATTGTCATTGATTTGATACAGAAATCATACAAAAAATTTGAAAATACGTTGTGATTTGTATAAGTGTTTGAATAAAAAATTCACGGTATAGGACAGGTGTCAGTGAATTTGTAGCTCGTGCGTTTTAGATATACGATATGTATGTAGCACCAAGCATTTTCAGACACTTTTTGTTCATTCATTTGGTGAGTGGATTCTGCGTCTTAGAGCATAATTCCCACTGTGGATTTCATTTTAAGCCATTACTGTCACTTTATTCGCTTGTTACATCTGGCATATTGGGATGCGCTACAGTGGCGTTTTCATAGAAGATATACGTATATGGCACTAGGTTACTCCTTTAAAATACTCAGTAAAAATCATGCTCTTATATGCAGCACTCACTCACTAAATGAATGACGAAATTCCCGAAAGTGTTAGACATTAAACTTTTATTTAGAATGACTATCCTCGAAAATAAGTTACACTATCCATCTCTGCTTATATCATTATTTTTGTTATTAATATTATTAACCAATCTTTATAAAATAGTATGTTTGTCGTGGTAATAGAACTATGTCGTTTACATCACGAACTGTTTTCAGGTAAACAACCATGGAGAAGCAGAAAGTAGTAGACATCTGTTAGATACTAATTTTAGACTCATAATTGTTATAACTCATTCATGAAATTCCCCCCATTCTTCAAGGATTGAATTCAGGACTTTCAAGCCTCATGGAATGCTACACGTTCAAACAATGATCTGCTCTTGGAATTTCCGTCAATTTGTGATAGTTTTCAACCCTCATCCATTGCTATCGAGAGTAATGGTTTGTTGCCGGAGGTTAAATTTTTCTGGGTTTGAAAGTGTATCACCATGTTCCTTTTTCCCCTTACCTTTAGATCAAACAAAAACAGTTCTAATTGTTTAATGGAGAACCTGCTCTCGGATGAATAAAAACCATCAAATTCAAAAAGGCATCATTACACAAATTTTACTACCGCAGTCATCCCGTTTCACATGTCTACATCGGACAGCGACTTGAAGAATATGTTTCGAGAGATGTTTGTTCGTGTTGGATTTTCAAGTGAAAAAAAGTTAGCACCATACTTTCCGTCATTTTATTATAAGGGATGGCCATTACAACGAGAGCGGTTTTTGTGTCAAATATGCATGTAGGATGGATGGGCATAGTCAGCGGCCGATGACATCTTCATCAACAAAAAGGTATGTTTCCCCGAATATCCTGTATATAACAAATTAGACGAGCTATTAGTCGTGGATATTGGTCATTCGCCCATGTCCGTATGGCAGATGAATCGTTCACTGTAACTAGATGGTCAACGATCCAAAAACGTGATTACTGAGTGTTGTTCATGAGCGAAGCCCATGATCTCGTCGTTTGACAGAATATCAAATGAAAAGTATTCTCCCTTCGTTTATGAAACTTACAGAAAGCGAATCATTGCACAGGCTGTCTGTAATATGCGTCACCGTATATTTAAGCAGTCGAAACTTCCAGGTTTCTTTAATAGTGTTAACAATGTTGGCTTAACAGATAGTGTAGAAACCTTCTCAGCACACAGCATTCAGTTGAGAGGCGGAGCACAGATGCAGCATGGCATAAACGGATATCTACAGTTCTATTTCTTCTGTACACGAGATCAGAAGAAAATAGCTTATCAGTCTGCTGAAATCATAACAATTGACGACACCTATAAATGTAATAAAGAAGAAATGTCACTCTAACAGTTAGTGGTTTTGGATATGTCTATGAAGGCAATGTCAGCAGCCATTGGATTAGTAAAGCGAGAGACATATGATCTTATAAGAATGTTTTTATCCTTTTTTTCATGATGGTGTTCTTGTCTTATATACAGCTTCATTTGTGATGGCAACCGTTATTAACAATGCCCTTAGTGCAAACTGCCTGAGTGTCCACCATATTTTGTTCAGAGTTCACATTAGACGAAACGTTCTGCAGCGAGTAAGGAAAACATATTTTATCATTATTTCTTCAGAACGTGTTAACAAGTACATTTCAACTGTTTCTGAAAGTGATGTACACGAAAGACGTTGAATGGCAACTGTGTTTAGTCCATGAATATTTTTAAATCTCATTTGTACGTCAACGTAATTGAACGGGAAAATTAGTGCTGTGTGCCACTTATTTAAACTGCATAGAAAGAAAGAGGACTCTGGAGATTGGACTAGATGTTCATTTACTGTTTCTTTAATGTTGCACATGAAGTTTCCATTTTGCTTAGTTAAATTTTTCAGATTTCAACCACCAGGATAACAGCAAACTCTTTTGTTAAACAGTTCATGTGAGAAGATAAGCACGTAACAAATCAAATAGGCCAAATTCTAAGTGGCATAAAAGTTCAATACTTTGAAACCCATAGCATTCCAGTCGAGTTTTTCAGCATGTTTCGGTCAACAATTGTCTCACACCCTATTGTATGACATGCAAATAAAAGAAACGGGCATAAATAAACTATGAAGACTGACAAATCAAATGTCAGGGCGAAATTCATTCCTGTATTATAAATTATGTCAGTTCAGAATGAAAACCCCAATGATTCATATAGATAAGTTAGCTATTAATGAAAAAAACTATTAGTTGTAATTTTATCACATTTTTTTCGATCAAAAATCATTTCACAACCAAGCGATGTAACTCATTGACTAGAAAACATCTCAAGGTCCTCCACCTACCTTACTTCCATCAATAATCGTATTTACTAACACAAAACAGACCACCTACCAGGCTCATATTTTGGATGATGAAATATTTCTTCTACGTGATAAAATGTTTGAAGTTTAACATGTCCAAAAATGGAATTGAAGACTCGATTGAAAGCACCTTTTAAACGTTCTAAGATTCCAGGCTAAAATAAATAAATAGATCCCATATACAGCATGAGCTTTCGTCAATGGGAGTGGTGGCAGACAACGTAGTTGGCAAGCAAAACATTTAAGAATCAGTCTAATACGCTGATCACACTTAAAAAGCTTACTTTTCAACCAGTTTCTGAGATTCCACCAATGTACAATCCTTGAGTCTTGAACAAACTGAGACGCGGAATCCAAAGGAAAGCTTGCTTTCAAACCTTATTTAATTTCAAATGTTCACTGTGAAGGATCTACACATTAAGACAAAACAACTAGTATTTCTTTATTTTTAATTATTATATAGTTAGGATTCAGTTCGTGATATGAACCATAAGTTTAGAAATCTTTACAGACCTTCAATACTATTTAATGTACCTTGAGGACTCGTTGGCAAGCATCACGTGCCAAATCACCAATCAAAATTTTTACTTACTCCATAGATTATTAGAATGAACCATTATGTCATTGAATAAAAATAGAATTCAGCGAAGGAAATTTTTCATTTTAAGCTGTACATTCGTATATATAATTACATATGAAAATATAGGTCTATAGAAGGATAGAAAAGATTGCATCATAAAACAGATTGGAGACTAAATAATAAAAGAGGTTGCGTTCTAATCAAGGTGGGAGGAAGAAAATAGTTTACGAGTCAGCTAATAGTTCAATGGACAAATATGAAGAAAAAAAAACGACAAACATAAAGGTTATAATAATAAAAACTGAATAATAATCAAGAAAACTTGTTTAAAGTAATAATAATAATAACTGGTTATTAAAGAGGAAGAATGTATTTGTAAAACCTCAGCGAAAGAATTTGAAGTAAACCCAACGTTTCGCCTGGCAATCTGGTCCAAGCTTTTTCAAGGAAAATATATATCAATAACTGGTTAGTTTAAAATTACATAACATTAATCTTAAGAAACCAATAATAATGAAACTAAAATGAAAAATCCAAAACATACTACTAAAGGGAATTAGGGCCAAGGAAGGATAAGAGGTTGGACGAATCGTTTTGTACGTAAAGTTCGGACTTGAGTTAATGGATTCCCAATGCCTCAGCAATGCATGAGATATTTATTCGACTTCCCTTCGATCCAATTCCTTTGACTGTGTAGATTACTTTAACAGAAGACTCCTTTGGAGTGATGTGTTCACAGTTGATTAAATGCCCCTGTATTGAACTAGTTATTGTTTTGCATTCTACTTTTAAAAGCCATGCCGGTTTTATGTACTAAGATGCTTTTGGAAAGTGATCGCTTCGTGCGGCTAATGTAACCTACCCCACATGAACAAGTAGATTAATAGATGCACATTGATGTGACCCAAAGAGGAAGTTTATCCTTAACACATATGTGAATGGCAGGCCGGCTTGGGAAAACAATTCGGAGCTTAACTGAGTAGAACGTTTTATTCTACGATTTTGAGATCCGATTATTCAAGATTTCAGCAGCCATATCTCCTTTAAATTTCATATTCATAAAAAGAGTTTTCCTTTGCATTGTCGGTGCATTTTCCGGACGATGTTTAGGTGCTAAGTTACTATCGACGAATCTAGGTGGATAGCCATTCCTAATGAGAGTCTGTCGAAGTTGAAATAGTTCCTCATCTATTGTGTCAGTAGAACATATTCGACTGATCCTTTAAGACAAAGAGCGAATTAATTACCTCTTTCTACTCATTGGATCCCAACTATGGAAATTCGTGTACTGCTTATTCTATGTTAGTTTTCTATATATAGATCTCTGTAAAAAAAAAACAATCCGGCATTCTTTTCAATCGAACATCAAGAAAATGAAATTCATTGTTTGCCCCTGCTTCCAAAGTAAATTGAATTGAGGGGTGACAATTATTGGAACTATTCAAAATTTCATTGACGTTCATATCTTCTCCACAGTTCCGCCGTCATTGTATTTAACGTTAATTATCCGTGGATTATCTTATTAATAGTGTCATCTGATGCGTTCCGTAATATTTCGGTAAGAAATTCACTAGACTGTGTTCACGCATAATTGCATTAGAAAACGTTCAGCATTTCAATTACCAAATCGTCATTAAGGCTAATTTGTATTTTTATTCATCGATAAGCAATATCTATTATTTTAGTATATGCCATTGTGTTAAATGTGAATTAAATGAAATAATGATTATACTCTTTATCAGTGCCTGTGAACTACTTTCCTACGTAAGATAATTCAGTCAATACTGATATAAATGTTTTTTCACCTTAAAGCATTTACTGAATACGTCTAAGTTATCATAAACGTTGAATTACTGTACTATAATTGGGAAATTATGTACTAGGATCAGTTCATTGGTACAATAACACTACTTCTATGAGGAGTGTCAACTGCACTAACCACGACGTCTTATAATCAAGCCCTACTGGATAAACTACATAGTCGATTGAGAATAATGATAATAATAATGTGATTATAGCTCGCATATTAGTAATACTTTTATATGGTTCATCAAACGTCTATATCATCTAGTGAACACTAGCCTGTCTAATAATGGTGCATGAAAACTACAATAAGCCCCAAAAGGGCTCCAGACTGAGTTCAGACAAATGTATCGAAATTAAACGTTGATATAACTAAATATCAATCGATACAGTTGACCCTATTCGCACTAGCATTGTAATGAACAACAAGAAAAATTCGGACATTAGCCTATTAATTAGCACTTAATACAACCAATATTACAATTACTTGCCAAAAATGGTTATTCTTGTGACGTTTAACTGTTTCAAGTTTGATATTAAAAATAAATATCCACATAATATATATATATATATATTATCCGTCTCTACAAATGTCTAACAAATGAAAACCAATAATGAATCTAAAAATGATTCAACATGTGATTCACAAATAACGTTTTGGTCTTACTGCTGAAAACTATGTTGCACGAAACTAATGAAAAGCCCACCATGATATTTCCAACTGTCATCCAGTTATTCGCTCATACATTCGCCCACTTGATCTTTCGAAATGAGACAAGATGACTTCTTTCGCTATTCTTATGTATCATTACAATTGTCTTTCAAAAAAAAACTACGTAGCTAGGTAATCCGATGAGAAGACCACACGAGCACGTGTTGTGAGCAATGAGTCAAATCACGCTCCGTTAGAAGAACATTACAATACGCATTAGACTCGAACCGATATTGTGAATTTGACGGTAAACTCCCTCTATGACTCACCATCTCCAAAGTGCACACGATAACCAGCAATCCAAGATGGAGGGTGACAAAACCACGAATATCCCTGTGTGCAGTAACAGGCTAGGATCCCCGATTACCAGCTCAATATTAGGTCCCAACCACTTGTGCTAGTCTTTGCTCACAATGCAACTACAAACTACACGGCCTCCGGTGGCACCCCACGCTCGAAACCATCCGTACCAGTATCGATTCGGTCCCTCGCATGCGCACTAACAACACAACAAACCACAAACTCTCTGTCCCCACTACACATAGCTCACAAGGTGTCACGACATAAACCACCATATCAGCCAGGAAAACTAAGTACACTAAGTACAAGGCAATTCCGGACAGAAAACCTCTCATCGAATCCCAACTTACATTTAGAGAAAAATTAAAACAAAATCAGAAATTGGTGGCCCTAAACAGGGCCGTGGAAGCGTTCTCTACATAAAAACTCTCGAAACAAATTATTTAGAACCACTGTACTTCGTCACTGCCTTCGTGCCTTCAGATACAGCGTGTTTTGCCAGTTCACCTGGCAACAACAATCGGACTGCTGTCTGCACTTCCCGGCTCGAAATTGTCGACTTCTTGTTGTAGTGAGAGAGTCGGCTGGCTTCTGCGGCAATACGCTCAAATATATCGTT